TTTAGAATACTGTCTTTGTCTTTAATTTTTCCACTCTGGCTATCATGTGCTGGGGAGAGTATCTTTCTGTATTGATTCTGTTGGGAGTCCTTTTTAATCTTGGGTCTAAATTTCTCCATGTTTCTCTAAATTAGAAAAATCTTCCAGTAGTATTTTATGAAAGAGGTTTTCTATGCCTTTGGCAGATTCTTCACCTTCTGGAATTCACATTATATGAATCTTTGGGCATTTCATGGTGTTTAGAATTTCCCATCTGTTATCCTCATTTTTTTTGTTCTTTCTTCTTTCTTTTTGTTAATTTAATATATGCTGGAGACTTTGTCTCCAAGGTCAGAAATTCTTTCTTCTGCATGATCCAATCTGCTTTTAATGCTTTCTAAGGAGATTTTAATTTCTTGTACTGTATTCCTGTAACTCCCACTGTAAATACCATGTATTACTATTCTTTGACCCTGAAGATCCTTGTGCTACCCCTTTTTATTTATAGTTCCTTTCTGAACATCCCTAAACCCTTGTATGTAACATTTTGAGATTGACTTTGTTACTAAGTTTAATATCTTTAAGATCTATTCACTTTGTAGCATGTTTGTTCCTGAGCTGGTCCTGTGTCCTTGTGGTGAAGGGAGCTGGGTCCCACATGGCTGACTATGGTTTGAGTTTCAACCCCAGCAACTTGAAAAACATACCAGCTATATGTGCATTCATGCCCCAAATCCTGACAGGGAAGATTAATGGAGAAGAAGCAATTGCAATGTGACCATGTCCCATTGGAGAGCACTCTGCCCCCACATATCTTTATGGTAAGCATGTGCACCCTTTGTCAATTAAAAATAAATGAATAAAAATGGTTTGTTCCTTTTTATCATTGTATATTGTTCCATAGTATAGATGCACCAATTTGGCCATTAACCTTCTGAAAGGAATCTGGGCAGTTTGGGGCTATTTCAGGCAAGGCTGTTACCAACAATTTATGAGTAACCCAGTTTCTCTAAATCTTCATCTGGATTTGATATTGCAATTATAGCCATTTTATAGGTAACATGTAGTTATATCACTCTGTGCTTTTAATTTGCATTTTATTTGCATTTAATTTGCATAAGGATGTTGGGAATCTTTTCATGGGCTTATTTATGACAATACATACTCTTTGGTGAAATGTCCATTCATGTCTTTTGACTAATTTTCTAGTGATATAGGTAACTTTATTACTGTTATTCTTTGTGTACTTTACTTTTTGTTTTTCTTCTTTAAAAAATGTACTTTCTGGGAACCAGCAGTTAACTTAATGGCTATGTCCCTGGATTCCCACGTGGTCGAACGCAGTTCGTGTCCTGGACCCAGTGGCTTAAAACTCACGCCAGATGCGTGTGCGTGCGTGCCCAAGATCCCGAGAAGAGAATGGAAGAGAAGGGATTGTGGTGTGACCATCCCCTCTGGGGGGTGATTTCTCACTTTCTGTCTCTATGTCTCTGTCTGTCTGGCGAGCACACACGCCCTATAGCAAAAACCTCTCAAAAAAAAAAAAAGTACTTTCTAACCCCCAAATCATATATCATGTATTTTCATTTAATGCTTTTATATTCTTGACATTTTTCATTTCTTTCTTTTGTTATTTTTAGACAGATATTTTTGCTATAGGGCTCAAATGCTCACCAGATAGACAGAGACAGACAGAAAACTAGAAGTAACCCCCCAGGGGGTGGCCACACTGCAGTCCCTTCCCCTTTGTTCTCCTCTTTGGATTTGGGGCATGCATACACAGATACCCAGTGTGAGTTTAAACCACTGGATTTGGGACACAAGCCATGGTTGACTACCTAGGAGGCCAGTGACACAACCATTACACCATCTTCTAGTCCCAGTTTTTTTATTTTCAAGATTTTATCTTAGAAAAAATAAAGGGGATAAGAAGAAATTTGTGAATTCTGTGGATATGGCTTTACTTTTATTTTTTTTTAATCAATAGCCAATTTTCCCAAACATTGATTAATTGAATAATCCATTCATCCATTATTGTTTTAGAATCCTATTTTTAATCACACAATAATAATATATTTATATATATCATATACTAATTGCTAATTATGTATCATATGCTAATTATGTATAATCATTTACTGATTATGTCATATATTAATTATATAATGTTTTTCACTTTTTTTATTGAGCTATTTGTTTAAACTTTGACCAACATCACACTGCTTTACGTTTTATAGTTCTGTTATATGCTATAATGGCTGGTGGGACAGTTTTAAAACCCATGTACCTTTTTATAAAAAAAAATACAAATTGATTCTTATGCATTTAGTCTAATGTATGAATTTTAAATCATTTCTATAAAAATGTTATTTTAGTTTTTGTTGAAGTAGTATTAAATTTATAGATTATTTTGGGTAAAAATGGTATGTTTATAATATTGTTTCACCACTTTGTTACCCTTATTCACTCTCAGTTTATTATCTCCTTTTATGTAATTGCCTATCTTTTTTTACTACATCACATTACTTTTGCGGTGACTAAAGATGAAGCTAAAGTTTCCAGAATACAAATAAAATTAGAACTTTGAGTCAGTTCATAGCCTGGCTAAGAAAGTCAGATATCACATGGCCTACCATGGTTCAAATCCCAGGCCTAGTGACTTGAAAAACATACCAGGTTCATGTGTGTGTATGCCCCACACCCTGGCCAGATGGAGAAATAGAAGAGAAGAAATTCCAATGTGACCATATCCCAGTTGAAGGGTACCTTCACCCTTTGCCTCCCACTTCTGTCTCTCTCTGGCAAGCACATATGTCCTCCAGAAATTACAAAATAGAGCCTTATTAGGTGTCCCGGTTTGACTCACAGTAGCTGAAGCTGACCAGTTAAGTAGGATACAGATATGAGCTTTCAGGTGTTTGGGCATGGACAGAGAAAGACTTAAAGAGTAGTTCCCTTGTTTCACAGTTCCAACAACCCCAGGGAATTCTCAAAGGCATCTGTAGCTACCCAGAGCTAAACACAAGCTCTAATGTTAGAAAAGGGAGAGTGAGATTGGGTGGGAAAATTGTCATCACAGGACCAATATGTGGAGTGCTGGTTAAGGTGGCTGGGTCCCACATGTCTGAATGCATGGTTTGAGTTCAGGATCCAGCAATTTGAAAATCACACTGGGTGAATGTGCATTCATGTCCAAAATCCTGAGAGGAGAATGGAGAAGGGATTATGGTGTGGTCATCTTCCCTGGGGAATGATTTCTCTCTCTCTCACTCTTGTGAGTGTACACAATATATAGCAAAAGCTAAAAAAAATTAATAACCAAACAAAACAAACAAAAATTGTCATCAAAAGCTTATTACAACTTGACAAGAAGATTATTTTCTTTTAAAGGGTGGATTTAAATGATTAAGAACCCAGAAAAAAAAAAGATTAGGCCTTAATTTTAGAATATTGCTCACTTTTTATAAATTATTGAAATACAAACAGAATTTTCCAACCTCCTATTTTTCCTCAACCCTGGTAAGTTTACATAATAATACTTTCCTCTAGCTGATGCATTTGTTGAATTCATCAATGCCATTGAGGAAGAATTGTGACTTTGAAGGCTGTTGGGGGAAATAAATTAGGACTGAAAACTTACAGCAAAGAAGCCTCTTATCCAGGTAAGGTATATTTATAGAAATGAATCCCAAATCAGAAGAGTAGTCTTTAAATCCTATGTTCAGCCTTCTCTTAATAGCTGTGTAACTTTGTATGGCAAGTTACACACACAACCATTCTAAACTTATTTTCTCATTTGCTAAAGATGGAATAGTACGAATATCTAGAGCACTGAACCACTTTGAACAATTAAATGATTTTTAAAATTTTGCCATATGGCCCATTTACTAAGTAGAGAGAGACACAGAGAAGGGGAAAGTGAGAAAGCAACTCCCCGCCCCAGGAGGGATGATCATGCTGCAATTCTTTTTCTTGCATTCTCCTCTTGGGATTTGGGGCACACAGACAAACACACCCAGCATATTTTTCAAACCTTCAGGTCCAGGACTTGAATTACACAGCACTCAGTCATGTGGGATTCAGCTGCCTTGACCTGGCTAGACTTCAAATTATTGTGTGTATGTAAAACACATGATATAAGGCCTGGTACATGCTAGGAACTCAGGGAAGAATTATTTCCTTCTTCTCTCTTCTTCTCATAAATACAAGTAGAAAAAAAAAAATCTCTGCCTGATTTGGTCTATGTGAGGCTCCAGCGAGATAACATCTAAGATGGCACTTTGTTGTACTGTGCATTGCAAAGGCTCTGGATGAAATTTCAGATAAAAATCTGGAAAAACTTGATGACTATGAAAACAACTGTGACTTTTATGCTTCTGAGAGGGCAGTGCATTAGCAGCTGTGGTTCCATCAGTGCTGGATTAGGGCAGCTTGTGTAAGTTAGGAACCTGGCCTGGTAGGGGAGACTAAGTGAGCTACTAGAAGATTTGTTTCCTTCGGTAGTTTTTAGACCTCCTAAAAAGTGGTAACTAACTTTTATTTAAAAAGAGCGAGAACTCATCTGGGGACTTGTTGCAGACAAAAGTGAGAAATGTGCTCTCATTTATGCAAATTATTGTTTAAAGATGAGCCATCCATTAAAAGTAGTCAAAGAATGCAACAAACTAAAACAGCATAGAAGCAATGTAGGCTGCTAGATATGGCCAATACAGACTTTCTGGGATAACAAACTGAAATTCTACAAATAGGTATGCGAGGCAATAACAATGCTCTGTCTTTGAGTGTGTATACAAATAATTTATTTCAGTAAGCAATTTATCAATCAACTGAAAGACTTTGGAAACAGTATTTTCCAATCTGTTTTTAAATTTCAAGCTGTATTCATTCTCTTGGTCTCTCTTAAAATTAAGAAAAGAGAAAGAATCATTTTACTTTTTTATTTTATGGGACAGGTATTTTAAGATAAAATTAAGCATTTTAAAATTTCTAAATATAAAATAGTTAATTTTAAAAAAATAATAGTGTTATATGAAAGAAGAGAAAGTTAGGATTCTCCTTGACAAGGATGGATGAGGCCCTCTGGCCTCACAACATGCATATGGTTGTCATCGACACCTACTTCCTGACATCTAACCACTGGTTTTTGTTTATTGTCCTGATGTGATCATTAAATATTATATACATGTATTAAAAAACCATATCATACCTCATAATATATACAATTATATATGACAATTAAAAATTATAATTAAAAGGACCAGCAGTTGGTGTAATGGTTATGTCACTGGACTCCCATGTAGTCGACCGTGGTTTGAGTCCCAGACCCAGTGGCTTAAACTCATGCCGAGGGCATGTGCATTCATGTCCAAGATTCTGAGAGGAGAATGGGGGAGAAGGGATTGTGGCATGGCCATCCAACCTGGGGAGTGATTTCTCACTTTCTGTTCTCTCTTTCTCTCTCTGACTTTTTGGAGAGTGCACACACCCTATAGCAAAACCTCACCAAAAAATTATAATTAAAAAATAAACAACTATTGTGTGTCTAAGAACATATTAACTTTTTTCATGAAAAAGCAATATATATTGAAAATGTAAATTAGACAAGTAAAAGTATTATTTATGAACAAATACACTTAAAACTAGAATATCTAGATGAAGCCATTGTGAGGTAGCAGCAGTACAATGCTCTGCAATGATGGAAGCCATATGGAAGATCAGAATTCAGTTCTCAGGTCAACCTATACATGCTAGGAATGTGTGCATTCTTGTAATCCTGGCTGGCTAAAATGCTAAGGCATGGGGAATGGGGAATGAATTGTGGCATAAGACCTTGTAAAGGGTGCTCCTGTCTTTCTCAATACATAAATAAATACCCTTCTTAAAAGCTAGCATGTTTTTGGTTTGAAAACTGACTACATATAAAACTGATTAGATTAGATACATGAGTAGTTTTCTTTTCTTTCTTTCTTTTTCTTTTTTTTTTTTTTTGGGAGAGGTTTTTGCTATAGGGCACGTGCACTCGCCAGACAGAGAGAAACAGAGAGACAGAAAGCAAGAACTCACCCCACCCAGAAGGAATGGCCATGCCGCAATCCCTTCTCCTCCATTCTCCTCTCGGGATCTTGGGCACGCACGCACACATGCCCGGTGTGTTTTAAGCCACCGGGTCCAGGACGCGAACTGCGGTCGACTACATGGGAGTCCAGCGACATAGGCATTACGCTAACTGCTGGTCCCAGTAGTTTTATTTTCTACCTTTTAAAATTTTATATTATTTTCTCACATTTGCTTTAATGATAGAACCACCCCTTCAAAAATATCATGTATTTGTGTAGATACTAAATTAATAGAAAAGGATGCATTGTCATTATCAAATTAAAAATAATGATATCTGACAATAGCCATTTTTCACAGTATTATTATTATTATTATGCCTGGTTACCACTCTTCTCTCATGGATCCCGACACCAAACTCATCGGAAACATGGCACTGTTACCTATCAGAAGTCAGTTCAAAGGATCTGCCCCTAGAAAGACAAAAGATTCAGATATTGTGGATGAAGCCATTTATTACTTCAAGGCCAATGTCTTCTTCAAAAACTATGAAATTAAGAGTGAAGCTGATAGGACTTTGATATATATAACTCTCTACACTGCTAAGTGTCTGAAGAAACTCCAAAAGTGCAATTATAAAAGCCAAGGAGAGAAAGAACTATATACACTGGGAATTACTAATTTTCCCATTCCTGGAGAGCCTGGTTTTCCACTTAATGCAATTTATGCCAATCCTGCAAACAAACAGGAAGATAAAGTGATGAGAGCATACTTACAGCAGCTAAGGCAAGAGACTGGACTGAGACTTTGGGAGAAAGTTTTTGACCCTCAGAATGATAAACATAGTAAGTGGTGGACTTGCTTTGTGAAGAGACAGTTCATGAACAAGAGCCTCTCAGGACCTGGACAGTGAAGGAATCCTAGGCAGCTACCATCTCCAGACATGAGCAGCATTTTACAGTGAGATGTACACAGTCTTTTGCCTTTGTTTAGTAAAGTTTTATACAGAAGAGAGAAGAGAGCAAGTATTTATTTGGAAAACTCTTGTTCAAGAATTTGAGTGGGGGAGAAAGAGTGAGTAGTCCAAGGGTGATTTGAAATTTTGGCAGTATTAAACTGGTGCTTAATAGGAATAAGTAATAAAAAAGAAATTTCTAACATTCAAGAAACATTCCTGGACATATATAACATATATATATGACACAGAAGGCCATAGAAAGCCTGAATAGACCTATAACAAGCAATAAGATCGAATCAGTAATAAATAACCTCCTAACAAAGAAAAGTCCAGGTCCTGATGGCTTCACTGCTGAATTTAAAAAAAAAAAGTAAAGAGATAATCCCTATTCTACTCACACTGTTTCCAGAGATCAAAAAATAAGAAACCCTTCCAAATTCATTCTATGAAGCCTCCATCATCCTTATTCCCAAAATGGATAATGATACAACAAAAAGGGAAAACTTCGAACCTATATCTCTAATGAATGTAGATGCAAAAATTCTCAACAAGATATTTGTTAACCATATTCAACATCATATAAAAAAGGTTATTCAGCATGACCAGGTACGCTTTATTCCATGGATGCAAGGGTGGTTCAACATTCACAAAACTATAAATGTAATACACCATATTAACAGAAAGAAAGATAAAAGTCATATGATCATTTCAATTGATGTGGAAAAAAAGCATGTGACAAAATACTATATTCCTTTATGATTAAGACTATCAAAGAAATTGGCATAGAAGGATTGTTTCTAAGCATAATAAAAGCCATCTATGAATAACATATAGTTAACACTATACTGAATGGGGAAAAGCTGAAAGCTTTTTCACTAAAAACAGGTACATGACAAGGCCCAAGCCTGCCACTTTCTCCACTCCTATTTAACATAGTACTGGAAGTTCTAGTCAATGCAATCAGAGAAGGGAATGAAATAAAAGGCACTCCAAAAGGGAAAGAAGAGCTGAAATTATCTCTGTTTGCAGATGATGTGATTGTATACATAGAAGACCCAATAATATACACAAAAAAATTCTCAAAGTAATAAATGCATACAATAATGTGGCAGGATACAAAATTAACCTACAAAAATCTATAGCATTTCTGTCTACAAAGAACAAGCAGAGACTGAACTGAAGAAAGTAATTCCATTTACCATAACCAGAAGTATAAGACACCTAGGAATAAAACTAACCAAGTAAGTCAAAGACCTTTATAATAAAAACTATGAAAATAATAAAAAGAAAGTTGAAAAAGACACAGAAAAGTGGAAGGACATACCATGTTCTTGGATTGGCAGAAGTAATATTATCAAAATGGCAATCTTACCCAAATTAATCTACATATTTAATGCAATCCCTATAAAATTAAAAGAGGCATTTCTCACAGATCTAGAAAAGACAATCATAGAATTTGTCTGGAATCATAAGAGACCTTGTATTACCAAAACCATCCTCCACAAAAAGAGTGGAGTGAGTGGCATCTTACTTCCTGACCCCAATATATTAAATAGCTGTGATAATAAAAACAGCATGATATTGAAACAAAAACAGACATGAGGACCAATGGAACAGACTAGAGACCCCAGAAATAAACACCAAAACATACAGCCAACTGATCTTTGACAAAGAGTATCAATCAATCCAGTGGGTAAAGAAAACAACATTCTTAGCAAATGATGCTGGAAAAAAAATGGTATCCACCTGCATAAAGATGAAACTAAACTCCTATCATTCACCACTAACGAAAATCAACTCAAAGTGGATCAACAGTCTAAACCTAAGACCTAAAACTATAAAACTACTGGTGGAAAACACATTGGGGAAACTCTAGGAGACACTGGGATAGTCAAAGACTTCTTAAGCAAGACCCCCAAAGCACTGGCAATAATCCCCCAAATAAAAAGGTGGGATTACATGGTAGGGATAGCTCTGTGTCTCCTTCTCTTCATCTTTGTCTGTCTCTCTCTGTCTCGCTTTGTCTCCCTATGACTTAATTTTTTTTTAATGCTATTTTTAAGGTAAAGTATTCTCTGGGTTCTCAAGCCTATCTTATTGCATTAATTAGGAAAGGCATCAGCCAAGCCAGGCCTATCCTAATATGGATATCAAACTTCAGCTGTGAAATATTGGTTTCATGCAGCATGTGAGTGTACCACATGGTTGTCATTTTTGCTTTTTAAAAAGATAATCTTATAGGATTTTTTTATCCTCTTTTTTCTTCTTTCTTCCTTTTCATTTTATGTTTTTCTTCTTCTTTCCTCTTCTTAATTCTTTTCCTTTTATTTTTATCTTTATTCATTTTATAATCAGCCTCTATTCACTAACTGTCTAAACAGGTCCAAGTGAATAGTTTCCAACCATCTGAATATGATTAGGGTCAGAATATTCCTTTCTTGGCACCAGCAGTCAGTGTAATGGCTATGTCACTGGACTCCCACGTAGTCGACCATGGTTCAAGTACCGTACCTGGTGGCTTAAACTCACGCTGGGTGCATGTGCACGCGTGCCCAAGATCCTGAGAGGAGAATGGAGGAGAAGGGATTGCGGTGTGGCCATCCCCTTTGGGGGGTGATTTCTCACTTTCTATCTCTCTGTCTGTCTGGCAAGCGCACGCGCCCTATAGCAAAAAACCTCTCCCGCCCCAAAAAAAAGAAGAATATTCCTCTCTTCACCTTGAATGGGATGCATAAAGAGTGAAAATGTAACAGAAGAAATATTTCAGCTCTCCTTCTTCTTGCCTCTGAACTCTCAGATTGAACTTCAAGAATTAGGAAAAAACACACCTTCCATCCTATGACTAGAAAGCACAGCAGAATCACAAGAAATATGGAAAAGCAAGAAAATACCTTTCCTCCAAGGGAAAAGAATAAAACCTCTTCATCCTCAGACAGTACAATGAAAATCATGCAAATGTCTGATAAGGATTTTAGAATATTCATAATGACAAAGCTAACAGAGATGGAAGCGAAGACAGACAATGATCTGCAGAAAAGGCAGGAGAAAGAAGCTGATGAATTTCAGGAGGTGAGAGAATTCTTGCAAGATCTAAAAGAGGAAATACACACTATAATAAAGAATCAAATGGACC